AGTAGTAGTCGCCGTCGTCGTAGTACTTGCTGTGAATGTGTGTAGCCCCAGTGCTGGTCGTTTGTGCGATTGTTCTGCTTCAATGACTATGGCCGCCAGCACCGTATCTTGGCTCCACTCTCATGTGTAACCGCCATTGATACTTGACCATGCATTGAGTCAATGGCATTGAGCACTACTAGCGGTACTAGCGACAAGCTGCTATTGCCCAATTGCTATTGGTTGCGCTGGTGTAGCTTCCCGAACCGCAACGCCACGATGCCACATCGCCAAGCCCTCAACCAGGCTTCTTGTGCTGGCTATGCTGGAATCTGCACTCGACACTTTGCCCCCAGAGGCCGCTGCTTGACACTCAAGTGCAGGTGCTGTGTGTCTAGGTAGCCCAGTGAAGCGTTCAGGGTCAGCTCGAGATGAGTGCCGTACAGCCTCACGTGCTGCGACTGGCAGGACGAGGAAGTCACAGAATGGAAAGAAGTCGCAGGACTTCTTTTCCCACACACTCGTGTTGTGGGGATGAGGGCTGAGTGCAAATCGCAGAGAAGTTGCTCCAGGGTTGATAGAATGCAATAGAGTAGACAAGAATGCGGTATACAACAGTACATAATACACGATAGATCGTAAATGTCGCACTGATTCAGGGTTTAGGCTTAGGACTGAAGGATTCCTTGCATGCTCCTCAACGCTTTATGCACTGTGCCATATGCATTGTCAGTTGGCTCCGGTTTGGGGCGGGGAATTTTGCGAGGGAACTTGTCACGGACACGTGTTGCGATATGGTGCCTTCAAATGTAAGTTCTGTAAACTTCAAGCCTTGCACCCTAAACTCTGCACCCTATTCCCTTAGCCCCGGCCCAAAAAACCCTAAACCCAACTTAACCCCAGACCCTGCACCCGAAACCCTAGACGACTGAATCCTAAACCCTAAGCCCTTTCGCAAAGGCCTCACACAGCCGCCAGGCCCCAGGCTTCCTGCTGTCGCCGAAGCGTACAAGCAGCTTTGCTCCGGACCGGATGCAGCGAAGCGGAAGGAGGAGAGTGCGTGGCTCATTCTTCCTCATCTGCTTTCATGCACCTGTGTGTGTATGTATACATATATATATATATGTCTATGTGTGTATATGCATTATGTATCTTTGTATATGCAACCATACATGCATGCTCACGTGTTTACATACACACACATGTACATATGCATATACATGTACATAAAGATTTTCATATATATGTATACACATGTAAGTACGCATGTACGTATGTATGTATGTATGTATGTATCTAGTATGTACGTGTGTATGTGTATGTGTATGTGTATGTTTATCTGTATGTGTATGTGTGTCTGCATGTATTCATGTATGTATGTATGTATGTAGGTATGTATGTATGTATGTATGTGAGTATGTATGTGTGTATGTATGTATGTATGTATGTATGTATGTATGTATGTATATAATTATGTATGTGTGTATGTATGTATGTATGTATGTATGTATGTATGTATGTATGCACTGATATTTGTGTGTAGTTATATACGTATACATACATGTGTGTCTTTACATGCGTGCAAACATACGTACAAGCATACGTACATGTATACATATGTACACATAGGTAGATAGGTAGATAGGTAGATAGGTAGGAGGTACACATACATCAAATCAGTAAATACGTAAATTCAAGCGCACACACACACATATACATACACATATATGTATGTATACACATACATATGTTTATATCGATAGGTGGACAGGTCTTATGTTTGATCTTTCACTACCCTCTTGCTCTCTCTTTATATATGTATGTATGTATGTATGTATGTATATATATATATATGTTGGTTTATACTTATGCATTCTATGTGTTTACAGTTGTCCATTTGTTAGATCTCTCTGTTGATTGCAGTTCTCTGTGACAAGCGCCTCGTATGGTGGAGTGATCAGTGCGTCTGTTGAAGCCTCTATCTATAGTAATCTATAGTCTTCATTATGCCTCCTTTTGGGGGTCACCTTACAGGATCCTAAATATAAAACCATAGAACTGGTTAAACCAGAAAGAAAACTACAATGGAGACTGTAGGAGTCCATAGTCCCTTCAGCCCCTTCCTGCGGCTCATGAAATCCGTGGCGTCTCTCACTCCTTTGGGTGCGAGATTTGGGAAGGTTAGGGTTTAGGATTCAGGGTTTAGGGCTGGCCTTTCTTGGATAAGGAACTCTATAGCCCGAAGTACCGCCTGATAAGCCAGATAACCAGACACATCTGGCTCGAGTCCTCTCTTTAGACCATGTGGGCTTCAGCAAGTAAGTATGAACACGTCTGTTCATCACTAGGATAAAGCGGTTACAGCACTTCGGATCAGCATACTACTGCACTGATATCCGCAACTGATCTCGTAACTCAGATATTAACTGCGAGTTTTCGCCTGTAGACTTGAGAGGACTTGTCAAGCATCTGGGCCATTGTGGACAGTGTGACGTGGCATCGCGTGAGGTGGAAATACAAGCAACTAGACCGGCGGGAAGCTTAGCATTGGGTGCAGCCTGTTTGCCCTGAACGACCTCGCAGGCATTCACTATAGGTCACTAGGGATCTCGGTTCTCCGTATTTCTTTGCTCTCCACCTCTGCATTCATTCTTGCACGATAGCATGAAGCCGGTGGGCCGCGTGACACCTCTGTGAGCCAGAAAAGACTGGCATGACAGCATGCCAGCAGTCCAAATGTTCGTGCGGCACATAGGCCGCTGACAATGGGAGACTCATCTCCAAAATTTATGATGTAATTCCTTTGAGATGTCAGCCGAGTCAGCTGAGGTCGTCGCAGCTCAGCTTGGAAGGCACGCGTGAGAATCAGCAGTTGCTGCAATGCGCGGGCTTCGTGTCTGATGAAGACGGTACGATGACTTTCACTGGAGCGAGCTCCGATCAGTTGCGCCAAGTGCAGGATGTGATCCTCGATTTGATCAAGATTGCTGGGGAAGAGGGCATCGTAGGAAGTTCTGCAGGTAGCGCTCCACCTCGGACCGCCAGCACGACTACCACAACACAACGACGCCTATTCAATGTCCCAGAAAGGCGTCTCCTTTTGCACACCATTCGCTTCACCCAAAATAGTGTTGCCTCGCACTTCCGGGATGGCCGGTCTCTACAGGAAACCGTGAACTTGTTGCGGTCTGGGATGGCCGTCGATGACCTTCCGGCCATCCGTGTGGTCGAGTGCATGAACCACTTTTGGAGTCTGGACAATCGACGCCTGAGCTGCATGAAGGAAGCCTTTCCGGAGCGACGCCATGCAGACAAAACGATTCCAGTGAAGATGGAAGCCCTGTCGGATCCGAAGGTTCGTGATGAGTTCATGCGGAAGTTTACAACAGGAACAGAGGTAGTAAAACGAAACGGTTCTTCAAAGTCCTCAAAATGACATTAGCAGTTTTGTCAGTTGATTTTCCGGAAGCGTTGCAGCAGTTTGGCTGCACTGCAAATACCTTTTTCGTTGCTTCCCGAAGAACTCCCCCCAAAAAGGTGGGTGTAGGTGTGCTCATGTGAAGCTGCCTTGGGCTTCGCTCTGCCCGAGCAAAATTTCTGCAGATTTCCTGGGAGCCCAGTGCATCTTCAGATCTTGGATGTGCGGCGCATGCCAAAGCTTGTTAAGGCTCCTCTGCCGGCGGTGGTGAGACTCGTACTGGGTTCAAGGTCATGACTTAGGACACTATCTGCAGCAGGGCGAATCGTGCATCAGGTTGCGCCGGTGCCAAGATGTGTCAAGATTTATGCTTCAGGGTGGTGGTCCAGGTTTTACATAGAAAGCTGGCGGCTGGAGCGAATCTAGGAGCAGATGGACAGCACGAAGCTCTTCTTCAGATCGAGCCTCCAAGGCCTATTCTGAACGAAAGAATACAGTGGCTCCCTCAGGGTCCGAGTCTTTCAGATTCTTCTGTCCCACGTTCAGAGGCTTCAGATGATAACAAAAGAACGGGCTCCTGGAAGTCTGCCATGACTGACACCCGTTGTGTTGCAGGCTGAGACCAGGATGTGTGTACGCATGGGCTTGCTTTTTCTGGTGCTAACTTGCACCTGCACCCCAAGTAGCCTACCTTCTGCAGGGCTCCCTCTTATCAGATCCTTATCATGTCTTTACAACTGTAGATTGTTTGTGCTGGTCCAGGCAGGGCACAAGAATTGGACTTGAGGCTGTAGGGACATGCATGCTGACAGGTGCCAAACATTAGTGCATATTGTAAGTGCCATTATCACCATTCCCCCCTCTAACGCTGAAGACGAAGGTGCCGAGTATCATAAGAAGTCTCGGTTACCATTAAGCCGACATTAATGGCCATTGTCCGTCTTGTTACAATTACGCTTGCTGCCAGAATGACCACTACAACTTAGCGTGCCCGCTTGCCGAACTCGCCAGGCTTGCTATACCAGTGCCGCCAGTATCGCTGCTACTGTCGCTATGATTGCTGGCGCTGTTGTGTAGCTGCTTCGCTTCTGTTCCCACAGTTGCTAGCCCTGCCTTGTTTGTTATGATTCTGAGCAAGTGTAGTCTCAATGTGTTTTGTCCTGATACGTTGTACTGCCGTTCCGATCATGTTGATGGGATATAGGTATGATATTCAAAATCGCGGCCATTGAAGTCACCAGCACCATGAGTGCTGCCACTATGGCAAAGACGGCAACACTAAGAGGGGCGGTGTTTGATGTTGATGCCGAAATTGATTTCCATGTCTATGTCGTGGCTGCTGCTATTGCTGTTGTTTTCGCTGGTAGTGATTGTCATTGTACCATTTCCCCTTTTCCTAAGTCCATGACATTTGTTTGTTTTGTTCAGCTTCCAAATTCCGGCTGCTACTGCTTGCGATCGTGCTACTTGCGGTGTTGTTCTAGACTCCGCTCTTTTTCGATTCAGGGGGCCCAAGCCTAAGGCTCTAAACGACAGACCCAATGCCCCAGGACTATTTCCTGAGTCCCGTACTAGATTCCTCTTAGCGAAGCTGGTTTAAGTTACCATAAGCAGGAGACTGCAGTTAAAGCTATGCACATGTCCCCACTTTGGTGACTTAAAGTTAACGAAGCTCCTTAAGAAGAACCACTAAGCCCCAGGCCCCTACACCTGAATCCCTTCACCCAAATCCTAAACCGGCAACCCTTAAGCCCTAAAGCCAAACAAGCCCTTTACCTGGAGGCCCTAAACCCTAAACCCTAAACCCAAAACCCAAGCTCCGGACCTGAAACACATGTTCTGGTTTGCAGACATCGACACTTCGGCTCAGTGGAAAACTCTCGACACGGCAACCAGCAAAGGCTCTTGACAAAAAGCGCAGGTTTGTGGGGGGGATTTTTCGTTTCTACAAGCCTACTATAGAAATGTCGAAACCCGTGGCTTCAAGTCTTGCGGCCCGATGACTTAGCAATGAGGTTTCAGGTGCGGTCTTTGGGCTGTGGCCCTTCGGTCTTGGATTTGTGGTCTCGCGTCCTTGGCCACACATCGTGATGCGGGTCCTAGCTGGCATAATTAACTAAGTGTGAAACTTTGCTACCATGGACAGTATTCAGAGGAATGAAACCCAAGAACAATGCATTCAATGGGAATCATGATGGTAGCAGCTGTCAAGTGCTTCAAGCCGTGCCAGTGGTGCCTCGCCACAACTACTGTAGTACGGCAGACTGCGCAGTGAATAGCGCAAACATTCAAAATCTAACTACAGAGAAATTGGCAGTGCGGGCATACAAAACAGACCTTTACACAAACAAAATCATTACTCTGGGCTGCCACGAGCTTTAGCACACAGCGCCACTGCTACCACCACCACCACCACCACCACCACCACCACCACCACGACTATTACTA